AGCAAAAGAATTGCAAAACGCAGAATATAATCATTTCCTCGCATTTGCATAAACTTTATATTAATCTGCTTAACTTAGACTGCTACGTAAGCAACAAAAAGCATAACAAGCTCAAAATTAACACCAAAACCAAGCCAGCATTTAATTTTTATGACTTTTATACTCTAAAAAAGGCTTTAAAAGCGTTTAATAGCAACAATAAGGTGCAAAACTTGCTCAATTTGTGATTTATGCTTAACTAAAGAATCAATAAAACATTTGTTTACAAAATTAGCTCAATAAAACACTCAAGACAAACCTTTTCCCCGAGCACATACACATCTTGATGATTCGCGTCGATGAGATGCCATTGTCGAGCGAATTGTAGCCATTGATTCGCGCGGGCGAAGCGACCCGTCCGTGTTGCCATTCTGAAAAGGTTAAAAATTACATTAGATAGTTTAACTTTTAAAACAAATACATAGGATCAAGACGTAACGCAACAATTTAGTCAAGGAATTAAAGAGCTCGGGAAGATTTTCGTGAAAACGCAAACTTCATAAAGGAACTTTCGTGAGATACGGTTGAAATTGTCGTTATCCACAAAATAGGCAAAAGGCTCTAAAGTTTTTGTTCAAAGAAAGGCGAAAAGCGCGAAGAAAGGCGATTTAAAGGCGAAAAAGAAAGTTTTAGCTTTGTGCTAAAAAGGGGAGTGGGACAAATGCGACCTTTTTTTTGCGCACCCGGACATTTGCGCACCTTTTTTTCCGCACCTTGCCCATTAGCGCACCTTTTTCGCGTTTTAAAAAAGCTCTAAAAAGCTAATATTAACCAATTTCTATTCCAAAAGTTGTTTTTCTAGGTAATTTGAGGGTGTAGAATTCAAATTTTGACATAACAGAGCGTGTGGAATCAATTTGAAAGACAAAACGGGTAGGTCAAATTACAGAAAATGGTCGATTTTTCTCTTTGTATAACTCCGTCCGTTCGCTTCCACAAGCTCTGATATGTCAAAATTTGAATTCTACACCCTCAAATTACCTAGAAAAACAACTTTTGGAATAGAAATTGGTTAATATTAGCTTTTTAGAGCTTTTTTAAAACGCGAAAAAAGGTGCGCTAATGGGCCAGGTGCGGAAAAAAAGGTGCGCAAATGGCCGGGTGCGCAAAAAAAAGGTCGCATTTGTCCCACTCCCCTAAAAAGTGTAACTAGTTTTAGTTACTAGATCTACCATTAGCTACGGTCATCTTCTACGGTCATGGACAAAAGTTCTTTTAACGTTGCTTTTCCCAAGTTTATTTTTCAACCAATTTGCAAACGATTGAAAGTTTTAAAGAGCTTATTAGATCTAGTTTTAAGGGGGTGGCTACTTTGCCCTAAATTTTTTGCGTAACTGGGTCATTTGCGCAACTCGCCATAACTTTCTTCTAAGTGTGCCAATCTTTATGATTTTGGTGTCATTTTGTTACACTTGTTGAGATCTACAAAATCACACCAAAATCATAAAGATTAGCCCACTTAGAAGAAAGTTATGGCGAGTTGCGCAAAAGATCTAGTTGCGCGAAAAATTTAGCACAACGTAGCCACCCCCAGTTTTAGCATTAGCAAAAAATGGATTCAACAATTTATAACTGGACATGAACTTTTCAAAAAACAAAAATTTCGCCAAAAATCGATAGAGAAAAGTCTTTTAACATGTGATAAAAGCATAATGAAAAAAATGAAAATCAATAATTACAAGGGAATGGTCTCAGCTCAAAGTTCGGACTCGACTGGAAACAGTGCATAACATAGAATCGGCAATGGCGAACAAAACGCCACAAAAAAATTAGCCGCTAATAGCCATGGAAATGCGAGAAATCTGCAAAAACGGGATTCAAAACTGATTCTTTTATAAGGCTTCTCTCGCTGCCGGCCTTCTCAGAGATGAGCTCGTGGCCTAGTGGATAAAGGCTTAGGCTCTGTGAAACGTCGGTCCTATTTTTGCCCACGGGTTCAAATCCAGCCACATTTTTGCCTATGGGACGCTCTGCGATACAAGTTTTAACCGGAAAAAGAATAGGACCGACTAGAAAATCTATTAAAGTTACTTTCAATCACCCATAAACAATTTCGAGCAGATCAATTTCAGAAATTTTGTCGTTTTCTTGACATTCGAGTGGTTACGTCGATGCAAACCCAGGCAAAAAGAACAAAATTTTGCATTTGGGCGGAATTGAACCCGAGGACAAGAACAGAACCGACGTTTCACAGAGCCTAACCCTTTATCCACTAGACCACAAGCTCATCTTTGGCCAGCAGCGAGAGAAGCCTTATAAAGGAATCAGTTTTGAATCCCGATTTTGCAGATTTCTCGCATTTCTGTGGCTATTATCGGCTAATTTTTGTGGCGTTTTGTTCGCCATTGCCGATTCTATGTTATGCACTGTTTCCAGTCGAGTCCGAACTTTGAGCTGAGACCATTCCCTTGTTAGTAGGTCCTCCGCGAGCCGCAATTACTACTTGAATCCGTTTCAGCATCGAATCGACAAGATCGTGTAAAATTCGAGCTTCAATAATGTTCCCGGTTCGACGAATGAAGTACCAAAGCTCAACCTTGGATCCGAATCGTTTTCCCTTCAATTTCGACTTCAAAAAAAGCGCACAAATGTTCGATGGGGTTGAGATCTGGGTGAATATTGTTTACCGAACGGATTCCGTGAAGCCGAGAGAAAAGATTAATTCGATTTGCTTTAAATCATCCTGACATCAGAGTTGTTTCTTTATTTGTTCCTCTATTTTCTATGAAATCCTCCATTTTATAAAATAGAAAGACCAAAAGAACTGGTTTCCCAAGAACATAGCAAGGAAAATCGAGTTTTAGATTTGTTTTACTTGATGTCTAACCCGTTTTTTTTCGATAAAGCCTATTATTTGGATTATTTGGTTACGTAAAAGTTGGCTGACAAGCGGAAAAGGAGACAAGAAAAGAGAAATCCGTTCGGTAAACGATTGTTGAAAAAAAAAGAAAGAAAGAAAAGGGAGCTTTAGTGAAAAAAAGATGAGAGGGAACATTTGTGGGTTGGACAGGAAATTTCGATCTCGTTAGGACACATTTGTGGCCTTATCATTTTCGTTATTTATTCCATTTTGCATTTTCTAAAAGGTGGTCAATTTGGGGGAAACTATCTTTTAAGAAAAGAGTTGCTAGCAAAAGCGTCGCGCTTTTTGCGTCAAAATCTTTTGCACTAAAAATTTGTGCCACTTTTCATTTACGCGAAAATCTTTTGGACCGATTTTGGACCAATCTTTTGAACCAATTGTGTCAAAAATTTTTGCACCACTTTTCATTTCCCGGCAAATCCGTTATTTGCGCCATTTGCTTATGAAAATTACTAACAAATCACTTTTTCCCAACTTCTAAACAACTTTTTTTTTCAGTTTTCTGCTCCACAATTTTAATTCATTAAAAATTCCTTATCTCTCCAAATTTGGTTCCTTATCTCTCTAAATTTGGTTCCTTATCTCTCTAAATTTGGTTCCTTATCTCTCTATACAGGGTGGCTGAAAATTACGTGCGTGCAGCATCAGCATCATAGCTTTAAACAATGTATAAAGCATTACTACTCATCTTTTTGTGTTTTAATATTCTTTTTATCGTTGTCTATTAATTTTTTGTTAAAAAAGTTGTTTTCTAGGTTTCTTTGGCGAACGTAATTTTCAGCCACCCTGTATTTACTTCCTTTAAATTAAAAAAACATGTTTAAATACATATACAATCTCAAAAGCAGTCATTTTCATGTCACCGATTGGGCTTTTTGCTTGATTTTATACCTTTTCAGATCCGACGACGATAGTAAGCATTGTCGACGAGAAAAAGTAGATGCTACGCGGCGCAAATGCTACGCGGCGCAAATGCTACGCGGCGCAAATGCTACGCGGCGCAAATGCTACGCGGCGCAAATGCTACGCGGCGCAAATGCTACGCGGCGCAAATGCTACGCGGCGCAAATGCTACGCGGCGCAAATGCTACGCGGCGCAAATGCTACGCGGCGCAAATGCTACGCGGCGCCAAAAAATTTGCCACTTTTGCTAGCACCTCTTAGAAAACGCACTCTACTCTAATCATTTTTTTTCAAAGCCGGACAACTTTTACTCAACTACATTTCCTTTCATTTTCAACAATTCAACTGTTTCCATTGTTTGGGTTTTTTTTTTGATCTGGCTAAGATAAAAGATTGACAAACTTTATACTAGTAAACACTAGTAAATAGCGTACAGGGTGCGTCATAATTATTGCAACAAGATACTCAAGGCATTGCACACCAAGAAGTTTCACTGGAAGAAGATTTTTTAAACAGAAATAGCTTTATTTAACAGTAACAAATAAGGAAACAAGAGATCATTCGATATGACCGCCTTTTGCCTTGATAACAGCCCTTAATCGGCTCGGATATGCCTCCACTGCGGCCCGAATGTCATCTTGAGGAGTCGCTTTCCATCCTTTGGTCAAAGACTTCTTCAAGGTCAAAGAGCAGACATTAGCCTCTAAGATTGCCCAAATGGAAAAGTCCATCACATTGAGATCCGGTGAGTTTGAAGGCCATTCATCCTTGGTGATCACTGAGGGAAAGTTGGCCACACACCAGTCCTGAACCGTCTTCTTGGTGTGAGCGGGAGGCAATTAGGCAAGAATAAAGAAGATAGAACGCAACAAAAAAATAAGAAAGCTGTTTGGAAAACGGTCTTTGAACTCTTGTTGCAATAATTATGACGCACCCTGTATTCGTTTTCCTGTTCTGTCTAAAATGTTGCCCCTTTATTTTGATTACCATAATTTTTGCCTTTATTTTTATCCAATCTTTTTCACTTTTTTGTCTAATTAATTCGAATTTTCGTCTAATTTTCGTCTTTTTCGTCTTTTTCGTCTAGTATCACAAAGGATATCGAAAGATTAAAAAAAGTGGATAGGCTATAGAGAAATAGAGAAAAAAAATGTCGGTATTCAGAGAAAGAGGGCATGTTTTTGTTGTTTCAGATATGCGAATGCCATCAATTTTACGAATATTACTGTTATTATTATCACAAGAGAATTTATTTGTGAAAGGGCTTGACGGGTGGGAAATACTCGCTGATTCCCCGAGGAATCTCTCAAAAAGCGCTCAGCAATGGGAGGTACTCGACGGGAAAACAATCGACATGAGAAAAGACGAGGAAAAGCAACGCTGGGAGATCGTTGATGCGAATTCGACAAGTGAGGTGCACTTTGTGCTTTAGTAAACGCAAAACTTTCTAGCATAGTCGATTCTTCACATATTTTAGAGCCACCAATGCTCAAAGTTGACTGGGAAGTGATGGATGCGACGCAAGAACAATTTTCGGAGAGGTATCGAATAAAAAGTGAGTCACCAAAATAAGCACAGAATTTGGATTCAAAGTTCAAGATAAACAAACAGCTACCCAGCTCTCGTAATCCGCTCTAAAGCGTGTCCCAGCTACCGTAGCCCAACGCATTAGACAGATCTTTCCACCATAAGAATAGCTCTTTACACTACCTCTTATTTTGAGGTCAAATTAGATTAAAATCAGTCTCTTTCACCTTTATAAAGCTTCTTTCACCGCCCCCAAATGTGAGCTCGTGGTGTAGTGGATAAGGCTCTCGTTTCCATGAGGAGCTTATCAATTCTTTGCTCGAGTTCGACCCTTTCCTTTTCTCTTCATTTTATTTTTTTTTAACCGCTCAAATTCACTCTATTTTAGTGTTACGATATCGATTTCTCCATTCATTCGATCAAAGTCAAAATCATGATCAAATCAAAATCATGTCGGTAGTTGAACGTAAAATTCGTAAAAGAAATGTTTACCAACTGTCCGAGTTAGTCTAACGGATACCGATTGTGAGTTATAAGTTACGGTAGGGGAGTTACGGTGATTACTGTAATTCGATCTATGGGTATCCGGGTTACGATAAGGGAGTTACGGTAATCTTACAGTAGACGGGTTACGGTAGCCGGGTTACAGTAGCCGGGTTACAGTAGACGGGTTACAGTAGACGGATTACAGTAGACGGGTTACAGTAGACGGGTTACAGTAGAGGGGTTACGGTAGACGGGTTACAGTAGAGGGGTTACGGTAGACGGGTTACAGTAGAGGGGTTACGGTAGCCAGGCTACAGTAGACGGGTTACAGTAGACGGGTTACAGTAGACGGGTTACAGTAGAGGGGTTACGGTAGACGGGTTACAGTAGAGGGGTTACGGTAGCCGGGCTACAGTAGACGGGTTACAGTAGACGGATTACAGTAGACGGGTTACGGTAGCCGGGTTACGGTAGCCTTATAGTAGACGGGATATGGTAGCCGGGTTACGGTAGCCGGGTCACAATCAGTACTTGTTTTAATCCGGTTTACAGTAGCTGGTTACAATAGCCGGATTACTGTAGCTGGATCGCGATTTAAGCACTGAAGTGTTCGGAGGAAAGTTCATAGCTTTGTTTTACTTCAACTCTTTTTCTAAGACCATATAGTTAACCTCAAAAATGGTGGTGGAAAAGTGCGAAGACAAAAACAGGAGCTTGTAAAACGGAACAAAGGGTTGGCCACTCCATTGTTGTCGTTTCTCTCTCTTTTTTTGTGCACAGATTATCGGGGGTGTCCCCTATCGTCTTTTCACTATTTCATTCCCTTGTTCAACACCTTTTCAACCCCCTCCCCCCTTCTATTCCGTTGCTCCAACAAAAAGTGATCCCAGAAGATCACGCCTTTCGAAAAATGAAAGAGATCTCTTTGATCTCAATCCTCAAAATTCTCTTTTATCTGAAATTCAGCGATGCTTGGTACACTTCTTGTAAGTTTCTTTTTATTATTTATAATTAAATCTTGCTAAATCTTGAGCTTTGTGCTTCTTCTCGTCGTTCTTTTTCTTCTTCTCGTCTTCTCGTCTTCTCTTCCTCTCTTCCTCTCTTCTTCCCTTCCTCTCTTCTTCTCGTCTTCTCTTCCTCTCTTCCTCTCTTCTTCTCTTCCTCTCTTCTTCCCTTCCTCTCTTCTTCTCGTCTTCTCGTCTTCTCTTCCTCTCTTCCTCTCTTCCTCTCTTCTTCTCTTCCTCTCTTCTTCCCTTCCTCTCTTCCTCTCTTCCTCTCTTCCTCTCTTCCTCTCTTCCTCTCTTCTTCTCTTCCTCTCTTCTTCCCTTCCTCTCTTCCTCTCTTCCTCTCTTCCTCTCTTCCTCTCTTCCTCTCTTCTCTCTTCCTCTCTTCTTCCTTCCTCTCTTCCTCTCTTCCTCTCTTCCTCTCTTCCTCTCTTCTTCTCTTCCTCTCTTCTTCCCTTCCTCTCTTCCTCTCTTCCTCTCTTCCTCTCTTCCTCTCTTCCTCTCTTCTTCTCTTCCTCTCTTCTTCCCTTCCTCTCTTCCTCTCTTCCTCTCTTCCTCTCTTCCTCTCTTCCTCTCTTCTTCTCTTCCCTCTTCTCCCCCTCTCTTCCTCTCTTCCTCTCTTCCTCTCTTCCTCTCTTCCTCTCTTCTTCTCTTCCTCTCTTCTTCCCTTCCTCTCTT